TTTTAATTTTATTTAAAAATTTGTAAATACTTTTCAATTTTCCAGGCAAATTTGCCTGGAATACGGTTTAAGGGATACTGTGTATTTAAAGAGATTTTACATAGAATATATATTGTATATCTTTTTTTATCAAAGTCTAAATCAGAAATACAATAGTTAAACTATATAAAATATGTAATTTTAAATTTTTTATCTATTTAACTATAATTATACTCTATTTTAAAGCTAATTAATTATTCTTATTATTTATAACAGATATAAAATTAGATAATTAAAATTTACAATATTGCGTATTACATATTTTTAAAAACTAATAATTTCAAATATTTAATTAATATATACAATTTTTTTGCTATTAAAAAATTTTACATATTGATTATTTTGTGCTAAAAATAATTGAAATGAAGAATCAAGCATGAACTCTATACAATGCAAAGCACGTTCCATTAGTTATCAAATATCTTTTAATATTTTTCGGTTTATTCTTGTTTTATTAATCACATCTATATTAATGATCTCAACTAATATTTGCCTCCATAGATATTTTTTCAGCCAACCAAACCAAATCATTTGTGCCTTTTATTTTTTCTAATTCGCTCAAGGCATCATCCAATCCTACCTCTAGCGCTCTACGCTGAACTTCTTTAATTACTTTTTTTCTAGGTGCTAAAACAACACTATTGTCGAGAAGCCACTTGTTTCCATATGATTCCATCATCATAACAACTGATGGATTGCCATCAAGTCCAACATTCCATTCATTCCATACATCATAAACTGTACTAAGAGTGCTGATAACGGGAAGACGATAATACCGTGGTCTTGATCCCGCAAATTTACTATTACCCATACAACATTCGGAACCGCAGGTTGATGGTGCATTTGATTCACTAACATTAGATTGAAATGAGTTTCCGTTATTTTGCAAACTTGATGTTGATGGACCAGCAGAGCATGGATTATTGGAACTCCACATATATGGAATAGTTGTGGATTGACTACAATGAGAAGTAGGATCACTATAATGTGACGAATAATTGCGGTATGGAATTGTTGGAGTGTTATCCATGTATTTTATTGAAGAATTGTCGTTTGAAGTTGATGGAATATCTTGAAAAGAAGATGCAGGGTTAGTGAATGTACCAGTGTTATACGCTCGTGAAGCAACGGGAGTAGGATAATTTGTCTGTTGATAGGCATCAGTGTTAGGTTGTGGATTATAATACATTGTGTTATTATGAGAATAGTTTGTTGCGCCCGTCATGGTTGTTTGACTATGACCTGTAAGTCTTATGTTTGGTGGATTTTGTGTCACTGGATATGATGTGCTTACAGAATTTGCTTGATGTTGCAGATTACTTTGTGAATGAAAATAATTTGTGGTTCTAGTAACAGGTGTAGCTGGATTGATGTTAGTTGAAATTTCGCTTTGTTGACTCTCACTTGAGGTCGACTCAGATGTGTTAGAATTGTCACTGGGTGCTATCTCAGTTGTAACATAAGTAGTCGTGTTAGAATTTTGTGGACTGCTAGTGGTGATGCTTGTCATAGTGATAGTAATTCTTGAACTTGTGGCAGCAGAGCTAGGAGTCTGCACATTATCCAATTGATTGTTATATTGCGGCCTAGTGTTTTGTGGCTGGGAATTTATTGGTGAATATTGACGTGATGATGGCCGTATTGGACTTGGTTGAGGCACATGAATTTCAGGGCGCATTGGAGCCTCGTGAGGCCGTATGTGAATCCCTGATTGACGATTTAGAGAACGTCTTGATGGAATAATATCTTCTTCAGCACTTTCCATGGAGTAATCCTCTTCTACGCATGTAGCATGAGGGCTTATTCTACTTGACCTCCCCTTTCCTCCTTTAGTACTAATCTCTTCATGACGTTTATCTTGATATGATTTAGTCGATGTCGTCATTTTCCCCATCTTCATTAAGGAATATACAATTAGCCCATTCATCAATTATGACATATGTAATTGTTTAACAAATGTTTACCTTTGTGCAGTATCTTGATACCAAATAATAAAAAAATAGAATTCTTTGTTTTCGGGTAGCTTTTGTACGTTAATTTAAGGCATATGAATTGTTTAAAAACGCGAATTATAATTTCAAATTTTGCTCTTACCTTTTCAAGGGCGACTGCAAAAATTAACAAAACCAAAAATTAGAAATATCGAATACTGTAATTGCAGAATCTACGTTTGTACAGTATGTATACAAAACCGATCAGATGATCGACATCGTTGCACAAATATTAAAAGTCTAGATAAGAGTCTAGATAGTCTAGATAGGTGCTAAAACACGTGACAGATCATGACATATTTGTTGGATTTAGTTTGCGTTTATTTAGAAATATATATGCGCCGTTGGGGTATTTCATATACTAATTAATCAAACATATGCGAGGTATTATAGTAAAAATCAATAGTACAGATTTTATGCA